CTGTTATAGTCTGTATGATAGGAACTGGAAAAAATTAACCAGATTATAAAGAAATTAAAGAATAAAGAATATATATATATAAATATATATATATATATATATATATATATATATATATAGAGAGAGAGAGAGAGAGAGAAAGAAAGAGAGAGAGAAAGAAAAAGAGAGAGAGAGAAAGAGAGAGAGAGAAAGAGCGTACCAGAGAGCCTAATCTCATATATTGCACAGAATACCAATATTTTCTGTCTGTCAATTAGTAACACATTCTTTTTACTAATTTAATAATAATTTTGATAAAAAATAAGGCATTTTATACGTACAAATTGCAAATGCCAATTTGTATCTAGTTTAATGATCTTTCATTATAAAATATGTGTAAAGGGAGTTCATTAAGCCGACTTTAACGTTCATTCGGTTGGCAATTAAAGTACAAATAACAAACAGCTAACAATGGATAACTTTAAGACAATTTCATTATTCAGCTTCAATCAATATATCAAAACACTAGCCAGTAGGTCACGAGAGAGATCTGCTTAGTACGTCCAACACAAGAAGTTTGTCGATTGCATGTGAGTGAAGTGTGTGTAGCTTTATAATCTCTTTCTATTTCTTTTTCTCCCTCGCTCTCTCAGTATTATTAAATTACCGTCATTAATATTCACCAATGAATTGGTAATAATTTTAGGAGAGCTCCAGAGTTGAACCGCCTCTTCCAAAGAAAAGTTTGGAGATTACGTCATGTTTAACGAAATTTTGTCCCCAGCAAATTGTATCATAATAAATTATTATTTATATATTATAATAAATTATAAATTAATTATTAATATCATAATAATAATAAAAATTAAGGGATAACCAACAAAATAAGTCACCTAGTTTTTTTTCAAAAAAGCTCAAACCCGACGCAACAAATTTTTCTAGCAACAACGTCATCGATTCACGTGCACGTTTGTGTGCGTGCATACATGATTCTGTATAATACATAATGCTGAAAGTAGTTTGTGTTGGGCATTCTTCACGCAAATTCACACAAATATACCCACCACACACATACACACCCACGCACACGCACACACACACACACACACACTCACACACACACTCACTCACACACACACACTCACACACACACATACAAACTCATCATAATTTAATGCGTATAACGTTCACCACAGGCATATAATCAAATTTTAAATTTTAATACACGTACTCACGTACACACGAATATATATATATATATATATATATATATATATATATATATATATATATATATATATATATATATATATATATATATATATATGTTTATAGTACTTTTAAAAAATTTTGGTTATTTGAAACATCTGAAACAAAACCCCAATAATATGACAGTTGAAGTTCATTCAATATTTGATATTTTGTAAACAATAGATGCTTTGTTTATTACGTAGCAGTGCTTCAGTAGCGTTTTAATATATAACATTATTGTGGAGAAAAAATTTAATTTGGATTATATATGCAATAACTAACTAAAAAATTATTAAATAAAATAATAAAAATAAAAAATAGTTAAAAATGACAAAAGACGTATCAGTGATTAGAACTAGTGGCAACACGCTGTGGTGGCTGTGGCCGATACTTGGAAGTTGTGTTGGTGCGGCTGTCGCCGCTACCACTGTTGTTGTCGTCGTCATCGTTTTAGGTTGTGGATGTCACCCTATTGTGTTGTTTATTTTAAAAAATTTGCAGTTTACAATTATATAATTAACTCTCTTTCTCTCTCTCTCACTCACACACACAAACAAACAAACACCCATACATAAACGCACGCACACACACACACACACACACACACACACACACTGAGTTTTATAATGTTTTTATTATTCAACAAATTCAACCTCAACAAATCTAGCAACTTTCTCTTTTGTAACTGCACGCAAGTTCTGTTCTTGAACGATTGAGCTGGATACGTTGAATGCTTACATGTTGGTTTACTGGGCTGGGCAGTTAACATTTTTAGACACAATTTATAAACATTCAGCACATACTCATTTTCATCATTCATAATTGGTAATACTTCTATTTAGGTTTTAAATTATGATGACATTTTTTTATTCATTCATACATTAATGCATTCATTCATTCATTCGTTCGTTCGTTTGTTCATTCATTCACCGAGATAAAAAAAGGAATTAAAAATGTTTTTATATCTTCTCCACAGCCAAGCAGCAAGTGGTGCCACTCAATGCGACAACCACAGTTGAAGTGACGTCACCATCACAGAGTTAGTTCACCAATTAATTGACTGATTGGTTAAAACCAATTCAACCACAGAGCGATGGAGTTGAGTTCATAGAGTCGTCGTTGTCAGATATGATATGATTATGTTGCTATTAAATAAGTAACTGGTGACCGTTACAAGAACAATTCTTTTTGATTTCCAGATCATTTCATTTCAATGGTCCTGTTTTTTTTATATTTGATTTGGTGAAATAAAAAAATGTTAAATGATAAGTGGGTGTTTGTTCTTTAAACTATGTTCTTTAAATAACATGCCAAAATTTCATCATCAATTCAGCTATTATAATTAAACCCCTAGACATAACTATAGCTACGTAATATTTATATATTATATATTTATTTATAATTTAAAGAAATAACAAAGGTGATGTCGGTAACTAACTTATTTAATTGAACACAAACACACACTCAGGTAAGTGTATTTGTTTAACATGTTATGAATTCAGTTTGACGCTCTGACGTAAAGTTATTATATTGTCAAAATGTGCAATTCATAAAATTCAGTTATCTATTATTGATAGAAGCAACTTTGCTAAATAAATTTTTACTGATGTTTTGGTTTGTTTTGGCAATTAAATTATCAGTCATCTGGCTTATGGGTATATGTCCATTTTGTCACAAACTAACTGCGGTGTAGAGAATTAGCAGCGCTAAAGCCCCAAGAAAGTTAAAAAATTTGACTCTACCAAAATGGAAAATTTTGGTAGGGTTAAAGCTAGATTAAACAAAATATATCGATTATAAAATTGCAAAAATTTGGACTGAATGCTATTCCAGCCGCCTAAAACAATGAAATTAGGTACAATTTTTGCATTAAAACCACTGGTTTTAATGAAAAATCACTGGTTTTAATGCAAATAAATTTAGTAAAAACTTTGAAAGAGAACTGCTCTAGTACCGATCAAATTGTAGCAAAAATAAAGAAATACGGAAGAGAATGCCACTAAGTTTTTCTCCAAAATGCTAAAGCCCCAACGCCACAAACTATTCTGGCTGAACGTCAGCGATCCACACGTGCCTGCTTACATAATATAATACACACTCATAAAAGTATTTATACAACACACACATAGTTCGTGTTGTCTTGCATGTTGAAGGCATACAAAGAAAGCTCGACATGGTTTATTAAGTAACTAAAGCGTAAATAATGACATTTTCTGTATAACATTCACTAGATGCAAATTTTAATACACATACAGACTCACAGCTACATACTAGTCCACAAACACACGTGCACCGCACACAAAACGCACACAGGACATACACTCACTCACTCACACACACACACCACACACAAACACACACACACACAAATATATATAAATAAATATATATATATATATTATTTTTATACGATTGTATTCATTTAAAAATTTATCTGAAACTAATTTACTATAATGATTGTTCATCACTCAATAATTTATAATTTATAGCGGAAATGACTGATGCATTGTGATGTAATTTTTTACAAATACTTCAGTAGCATTTTCCGTTACATTATTGTTGAAAAAAAATATTTCGAATTCAGCTACCTTGTTGTATGTGCATTTCTCAATATAATGCATGTAAATTAAATTTTTAATTTAAACTAACTCATAAATATATTTGGAAGTTGCATGTTCTTTTTTTTTAATTAAGTAAACAAAATAATAAAATCAAATAAAATTAAATTATTATCAAGTTAAAAAATACAAAATGGTAAAATAGTTGAAGATGATAGGAGGAGACGTATCGGTGGTAGGGACTAGTGGCAGAACTCTGTGGTGGTTGTGGCCGCTACTTGGAAGTTGTGTCGGTGCGGTTGTCGCTGCTACCACTGTCGTCGTCGTCGTCGTCGTTTTAGGTAGTAGATGTCATTGTGTAGTCTCGTTTATTAAATTTCTATTTCAAATTTAAAAATTTTTTTATAAATAAATAAATATTTTTATAACCATTAAAAAAGGTCTTTACACGCAAACTTTATTTAATACATCATGTACGGATGCGAATTCACGCTCACACACACACACACACACACAAAATACAAATACACACAACACACACAACACACACAAACTACAAACACACACACATACACACATGAACTTAATTACGTGTTGTTATTCAAGTTTATCATAATTTTAATTAGTTTTACAAGATTTCTTTTGAAAACATTTTTCACATTATCTGTGAAGGTATTAAATAAAGTATTAAATTTTTTCATTCATTTGTTCGTTCGTTCGTTCATTCATTCAATCATTCATTCAATCATTCATTCAATCATTCATTCATTCATTGAAAAAAGGAAATAAATTTTTTTATTTTCTGAGCAGCCAAACAGCAAATATTGCCTCTCAATGCAACATCACTAGCCACAGTTGAATTTTCGTCCTCACGACCTCCTACTAAATTTAATTATTTAGTAGCGATTATTTTTTCAAACTCTTGAAAAACTTCAATAATGTTAATTAAATATACATTGTGTCCTATAGCTGCTTATATACGTGCTTATATTTCGTATGTATTTCTCTCCTTATATATACTTCTCAATTGTTACAATGACAAATTCAAATAAATAATATCACTACTGACACACACACGACCTCACACACACACGTACATGAATAAACACGCACCATACGCACGCATACACACAATACATTGATTGGTAGTTATTTTGTTGGCTACCAGCAACGACTTCAAAAGCTACAACAACAACCACGACAGCTACAACAATGACCACGACAGCTACAACAACGATTACAGCAGCTTCAACAACGACCACAATAGCTACAACAACGACTACAACATCTTTCATGACGACATCAGCAGCCGGAACGACAACAATAGTCACAAAATCATGTACGTCATTTTTTAATTTTACATAGTTAAAATTCAACTGTCTTCCATCGACCAATGGAATCAATCACTTTCAGTTTAAATTCAAACTGGTGCCTTGCTTTTATACCAGACCAACTAATATCAAATAATAAGTTTTTTTTGTCGAGATAAGCTTTAAAAAGCTAAACAAAAACAATCAATAAACAAAAATCAAACAAAAAAATATTCAAACCCCATATTTCAGCGTGCCAGCCAGCCGACTTGACATCTTTGTTCTTCGTCCGCGAAGAGTATCCAGACTCAAAACTCGATGGCGGTGTTTACACCATTGATGTAGATAAGGACTACACGGTGTCATTCCTGGATGACAACACCTACAGAGGATACCTCCTTTTCGCCAATAAAACATTTTCCGGTCAAATATCCAGATTAGTTTTCGGATTTGAGAATGTGGGTTTTGCCGCCCTATCTTTAGGTGACTATCCTAATAATATTAGCACGTTGAAGAAAGTGATTACTCCAATGTCTAATAACAGGGTTGGTCTGACTATCATTGAGTAGTTTATAGATATCTGTACTTATTTACGCGACGTGTGCGTCTCTCTCTCTCTCTCTCTCTCTCTCTCTCTCTCTCTGTGTGTGTGTTTGTGTGGTGCGTGATTGTGTGTGTGTATGTGTGTGTGGTGTGTGTGTGTTTGTGTATGGGTGCTTGAGAGGAATGGAATTGCGAAAATTTTAGTCAACAATTTTTACCGAAATCTGAATATTTTTTTTTTATTATACAAGTTTCGCGGGCTGAAAAACATTTTTTTTTCTTGTTTTGTATTATTCATCAATTTTAACTTGTTTCATTGCCCATCTTTTCCACGTTTAATGTAAACCAATCAATAACAGCAGTTCAATTGTGCTGCTGACATGCATAGTGATGGTACTTGATTTTGAGATATGATTAAAATAAAATGATATAATCAAGTCGTTGACTGTCTCATTTACTATTTGATTGATAACATTGATAACTGACTGACTCTGACTGACTGACTGACTGACTGACTGACTGACTGACTGGCTGGCTGGCTGACTGACTGAGTGAATGAGTGAGTGTATGAGTGAGTGAATGAGTGAGTAAATGACTAACTGAATGATCACTGATTAATCGACTGACCGTCTGAATGCATAACTAATTGAATGAACGTTTGTCTGTATGTCTGTCTGTTTGTCTCTCGGTTTATGTCTCTACGTTTGTCTATCTGTCTGATTAAAATGACTGATTATTCTGTTGAAACCTCTTCACTGACAGAACGAAGGAATTGAGTTCATACCGCCAGGTTCTACGTACATCTGCACTGATGTGGAGCTTTATTACAAACCGATTGAGGACATAAAACCAGTTGTCATCAAGTTGATTAGGATTGAAATGTGTTCGGGTTCATTGGTTCCAATTGACCCTGATGTGTATAACCATTAACTCATTCAAATATGTATGTAGTTATAGATTTATATTTAGATTTGTTCTGTGTGTGCGTGTGTCGATGTGTGATTTTCGACGATCGTGCCATCACTACTTTTCAGGTTTCAGGTTCCCGCAATTTTTTTCAGCCGCGCCACTCTATTTGTGTAACTGGTTTTGTAGCCATCCACTCATTTGTTAAACTAATCAAATAGTGTGCAAAATTTCTGTACCAAGTGGTGAACTTCTAATTAAATCATTGATCATTCATTTCAAATCATTATGATTATTATTATGATTATTATTATTATTATAATTAGTAGTAGTAGTAGTAGTAGTAGTAGTAGTAGTAGTAGTAGTAGTAGTAGTAGTAGTAGTAGTAGTAGTGGTAGTAGTAGTAGTAGTAGTAGTGGTAGTAGTAGAAGAAGAAGAAGTAGTAGTAGTAGAAATAGTAAAAGTATTACTGATATTTATATAGCGCTTTTTAAATTAACTTTTCGAAAGTCCTTAACTCTGGGTTCATGGTAGTATATTTCATTCGTTGCTGTCTAATAAATTAAATGGTCATCTTTATAAGCAATTATTTTTTAATTTGTTTTAACATCATATCTATTCTTCTTGTTTTTACTGTTATTATTAATGTTAATATTAATGTCATAATAATAATAATGTAATTATTATTATTATTCTTCTTTTTTTCTTATTATTATAAATGTTATGATAATAATTAATTAAAATTATTATACATGATTAACGGTAATTCTTGTACATATAATAATCAATCACCCGCTGTGTTTTTGTCGTTAAGCGGTCTGTTGTGTTGGAAGTGCAATTATTAATTTTTATACATACACACATTCATGCACACACACTCATCCATCCACATATTCATGCATACACACATTCATCCATCCGCACATTCATCAATACACACATTCATCCATCAACACATTCATCCATCAACACATTCATCCATCAACACATATTCATCCATCCACACATTTATGCATACACACATCCATGCATACACACATTAATACGTACACACACACACACGTTCACACATTAATACGTACAGACACGCACTCGTACGCATGTGTACTGTACACACATCCATAAAAACACATTCATACATGCACAGTGCACACACACACGTTCATACGTACGTACATCTATACATACACATCCACACGGCTGTGCGGTGACATTTGGCTGAAATTTTTTTTACCCCTTTTTGCACCATTTAGATGAGTGACTATGTTTTATTTTATTATGATGAATAGAACGTACGTCGACGATATTTGGTGGCTAAAATATTTAACAAGTTGTAGTAATTGTAACAGTAGTGGCAAACGTTTTAGAAGCAAAAGTAGTAGTATTGTAGTCATTTTAAAAGTAATAGCAAGAGTTAAAATGTTGGTGACAACGCTAGAATCGTATAGTGTAATAGTTAAAGGTCTTTGGTCCTACGTTGAAGTGTCTGAGTTTGATTGCAAAGAGATCTCGGCGTGTAATGAACTGATCCACGAGTACTTACATTTTGTGTCTGTATGTTTGATGTAACAGGGATTTAATTATGAAAAAGTTGTTAAATATGTTTGTAGTAGCTGATTGTTAATAGAATCGATGCTATAATCATTAAGTAATGGTTGTACTGCTACTACTGCAAATTGTTAGTGGTATAATAAACAAGTTATTAATTTTACTCTCTTCTGTATATGATACTTTATACTGGTATCGCCTAATTCCAATGTGAATGAAGTTTGATGATTGAATTCGAATGAAAGATTCATTTCGAATTGCAACAAAGTTGCTTAAATGTATCAAAATTATTATTATCAAATATTAATATTCAAAATCCTTATATAGAGGTTAAAAGATTTATTTAAAAATTACAAAAAAAACTAATAAAATATTATATTCTAGCTTATTTACAGAGATTCTAAGTACACTGTGCGGTATGATGTTAGCCATATTAGAATGTTTGCTGTTTGGACGTGTCGAATAGTTAAACCGGATGTTGTTGTTTCTTTTCACGTTGTTTACTTTGCCGATCTGTTGGCGATTTATGAGGTTCAATTAAGTCCTTTCTCATCCGTTGTTTTGGTTGATTTTTGCTTAAAATATTAGTTGCATGTTGTCACGATGTCTATTTTAAAATTGTTAAAGCTCTAAAAATTAACTCCCAGAAGATATGGCACCACGTAAGGCAAAAGTTGTTAAAGAGGAGCAAGTGACGCTCGGTCCCCAGGTTGCCGAGGGAGAATTAGTGTTTGGGGTGGCTCACATATTTGCCAGTTTCAACGATACGTTTGTTCACGTTACCGATCTTTCTGGAAAGTTTGTTAATTTTTACGTACACTAGCTTTACTGCTTTAGAGATGTTGTAGCTTAGTTTGTAACTTAAATTAATTATTAAAAACTCCCTTACCAGGATATATTTAAAAAATTTATAATATTATACAATAAACATGGATATAATGGATATGGCATAAGAATTGTTACCTGCCTAATAACTTTGCTTAGTTCTATGAAATAAAACGCTTAAACATTAATTAAATAAACATTTTTTTGTAGTAATTGACATTTTATTGATTTTTACGATCAAACATCTTACTAAAGACAAGTTTTTTAATTAAATGTCAATAACATGAAAAAAAGCAACTAGAACGATAATCGCTAAACAACTGACTAAAAACTGATTTTTTACTTGAATTTAAAATTTAAATTCACTTTTCAACATTTATTTGTTAGATTTTTCTTGATGTTATATGTATATACATATAGGAACAATGTATATATATATATATATATATATATATATATATATATATATATATATATATATAACGCATCTGCCATATCCATATTATATATATATATCCATGATAATAAACCATAAATTAAAGTAATCAGTTAAAATTTACTCAAGGGAAGCTAAAGAACATTTAATTTTTAACTTGTGAAGAGCTTGCAAAAGTTTCAAAGCTATTTTTTGAAAAATGATAAATGTTTTTATAAAATAAATAGTTTTAAATTTATAATGATATTTACTTAGTAATGATTGAGTGCTTGTTAGTGTCAGGGTTAGAGTTAGAGCTAGGAACATTTGTTAACCAACGTTTGCTGACTTATTAATGTTAGATAAGTTAAAATTCTTTATTTCAGAGAAACGATTGTGCGAGTAACTGGTGGCATGAAGGTCAAGGCAGACAGAGATGAGTCGTCTCCATACGCCGCCATGTTGGCTGCTCAAGATGTCGCTGAGAGATGCAAGCAGATAGGGATTACTGCTCTTCACATTAAATTGAGAGCTACTGGAGGAAATAGGTCAGTTTTTCATTTTAAAATTAACAGATACTGGTACTTGGTACTTTTTCGCCAGAACTTTGCATTGAAATTCAGAAATTTCATCCTCATTTCTCTGTCTATGCAAACATTTTTTAATGATTTTTTTATTGTTTTCAAATTTCAATTTCATTTTTCAACCACTCATTGGCATGCACTTGTCAATCATGCTAATCTGGCAATTTGGCATAGTTGTCTGATTTAAGGCAGTTGTTACAAAGTCATTTCTTTCGAACACATTGTTTGCATTCCGACTAACATTAAATACCAAGAAAGGTATCTCACTGATATATATCATTTCTTGATTTCTCTGCCATGGACACTCATTCATTTATATACACATTAACACTTTCATTTGACTAATAAGTAATTTCGACACCTAGTACAAATATATCTATGACTTTATTCTAATAGTTATAAATCAAATAATAAAATTTATTTTTCTTCCACTTAATACAAACTTTCTCTAACAGAACAAAGACGCCAGGACCAGGTGCTCAGTCAGCCCTCAGGGCATTGGCCAGATCAGGGATGAAAATTGGAAGGATTGGTCAGTATTTCGTTTAGTGTTTGTTTTTTTTTATTATCAAATTTGTTTTCAAGCCTTTAATTATTTTTTCTCTTAACATTTAATACAAAGTGAATTATTTATTTGCAGAGGATGTCACCCCTATTCCGTCAGACTCGACAAGGAGGAAGGGAGGCAGAAGAGGAAGAAGATTATAAATTATTTACGTTTATTGACGTTGCCGATTTAAAAAAAATATAAATATCCTCAAGCAATTGAACAGTTATGATTTCTTTTAGTTAAAAAACAAAGTTAAATGAAGCCGAGGTCGTATCCGTGTGCACATTTACATGCGTGTGACGATTTGTTGAATCGACATTAAACAGCATGCCTATGCCGACAAAACTTTATTTTAGGATAACTGAAATAAAATCTGGAGACGTTGTATGGCGTGGACGTATTGCAAATGTTTAAGTAACTCGTTAGATGGGCATTTGACATGCAAGTTTTATGCAGTCTGTTGCCATAATGTACAACAGGCCCTATAAATTTTTATATATTGAATTAAGACTCGGAAATGTAATCATTTGTGAGAATCACCGCATGTCTTGCGTTTGTAAGCTTCCTGTCTAATTCATAACTCATATTTCATTGCCGCGCGCTCAAGCACATGTTGAAAAAATTTGAATTTCAAACTTGAACTATTTTGAATGAACTTTGCTATTATTGATATTAGTATTATTTTATTATTATTTATCAAATAATAAATTGTTAAAAAACGAACGTTAAATAAACGAAAAAGTAAACGAATTTATCAAAAAAAAATATGTACAAGCTGCAGTAATGCTTGCTATGATAAAAATATTAAAAGGTGTCACACTTCTTGGACCAACATATCAAAAAATTACAATTTAATATACACAATACACGTACATATACAATTAAACATACACACTACACATACAAATAAATACACATTGCTTCTATGCATGTTTTTATATCGTCTTTAAGCAGTGGGCGTTCAAATGTGAACAGAAATGTTTATCAATTTGGGTAACTATTTGGAGACATTTCAATGAAATATTTTTAAAAACTTTTGACAAAAATTTTTTTTTTTAACATAATTACAATAATGCAAGTGAGTGAGTGTGTGAACGAGTGATTGAGTGTGTGAACGAGTGAGTGAGCGTGTGAACGAGTGAGTGAGCGTGTGAACGAGTGAGTGAGCGTGTGAACGAGTGAGTCAGTTAGTTAGTGAGTCAGTCAGTCAGTCAATGAGAAAAAGAATTCATGTCATTCCTTCTTTAACTCAAACTTTATTGTAAAGTTCATTTCAAAACGTGTACTGAACAAAAAAACGAAAACATTAGTGTTCCTTGTTAACCAAACCACAGTTTCAAATCAAATATTAACCACATTAATAAGCCGAAGATGAATCGCGTTCAAACAAAATTTCAACATAGATTTATAAGATTTCATCAGGTAAACTTACTAAACTTTTTCCAAAAATTCAAAACAGGTTAAAATCAAAAAACGGGTTACTTGAGAAAGTTTGTATAACTCACAAGTTAAGTCGACTGATTGGAAATTATTTGACCCAGTCAAATATCCAATGCAACTAAAAATAAATCTTGACGCGCCATTGTTAAGGTTCACCTTTACATGATAGTGTGAGTGAGTGTGTATGTGTATTGTGTGTATTTGTGTGTTTGTGTGTGTGTATGTGTGTGTGTTTGTGTTAATAGAAGATACTGACAAATTGATGGATTTTTTGTTGTAAGCAAAAGATATCTGATAATAGCTGAATAGCTGATGAATACTTGTATTTCTTAGATATTATCCTGAATAAACTTTGTTAAAGTGAAAATAATTTACATCCACTTTAATGTTTTGCTAACGATTGATGTTGCATCTACATTCTACCAATAACGATCCTACGCTCTTTGTTGTCGCTGCTTGTTAAGCTGCCAAAGTAACAATTAGAGACCTAATTGACTTTGTCGTTAAAGTTATAACTACGTAACGATAAAGTTACAAATAAAGTTATCGACAATAAATGATAAAACTTTGATTGGTTGAACAAAATTTTATTACCCCTTCTTTGCTTGGCTGGTCGAACTGGGTATATAAAGCAGAGGTTTTGATGAACAATCAACAACAATTATCTACGACCAACAGAGTAATTATTTTGAAATAACATTTACTTTTCTGTTACTGCGTTCTCATAACATTTAATTCAACTGCTAATATTACTACTACTACTTCTGCAACTACTATCACTACTACTATTTCAACAACAACAACAACTACTACTACTACCACTACTACTGTTACTACTACTAATACTACTATTACTACTAATACTATTACTACTACTAATACTACAACTACTACTATTACTACTACAAAAACAACAACATGGAAATGAACAACGTTAACAACAATATGTCTGTTGCTATCAATGAAGACGATTTCAACATGGTGTACCAGACCATGGGCAAAATATCAGTCAAAAGCATAGATGACATCGTCAATATTTACGAGGTAAGTAGTCTAATGTTTGTTGCGTTTTTTAAGAATTGTTGTAACTTATGTTTGTTAGTAAATTTGCTTTTGAAATGATTTTAACGGATTATTTTTCTCATTCACTGCAGGAGAATAAAAAGTTAAAAACAATATGCGAAGATTTCCAACTGAGACTTGCACACCTGGAAAAACAACTTAGATTGGCGAAGACTATAGAGGAAGAAGCCGAAGAGGAAATGAAAGCGATGAACGCCGAAATACAATCTTTAAGTAAGTAGTGCTCCATGTATTTATTTCATAATTTAATCATTCATCATAACTTTAATTATTTTCAAAAATAATTGAATAACATCTAACGCATTTATTTTTTACATTTTTATAGAATTAGAAAACAAAAGACTGAAGGAAGACATCAAATCGGCAATGAATAAGAACCATGACATTGAGGAAATTTCAGAAAAAGATGCTGACAGAGCACCTTACAAAATCTGTCTACTGGACATGTAAGTTTCCATTTCCAAACATAATTTCTTCATACAAACACCAGCATGCTTATTTATGTTTATAAACGTAATTTTCAACATTTTCTTTTATAAATAAATCAAATGTTAAATCTATCTTTTACATTTTTCAGAATATGTCAATTAAAAAAAGAACTGAAAGATTGCCAAGCAAATAACGAGGCTTTGGAAGCGAAAAGAAATGTCAGGAATATTTTCTATAACAACTATAACAACAACAATGACAACATCAACCTTAACATAGAGAACAACAAGAGCTACGACGACTGTAGGAACGTCCCAAACAAAATCTACAACAACCACAATGACAACAACAACATCAATGACAACCCCAGCATCAATGACAACCCCAGCATCAATGACAACCCCAGTATCTACGACAACAACAACATTAATGATAACAACAACATTAATGACAACAACAACATTAATGACAACAACAACATTAATGACAACAACAACATTAATGACAACAACAACATTAATGACAACAACAACATTAATAACAACAACAACATTAATGACAACAACAACATTAATGACAACAACAACATTAATGACAACAACAACATTAATGACAACAACAACATTAATAACAACAACAACATCAATGACAACAACAACATCAATGACAACAACATCAATGAACAAAACCTATTCAACGAACTGGACATCATGCCATATAGATACATCGAATCCGACGATGAATATGACGTCATAAGTAAGCAGCACTTAATATTGACTTCATTCAATTTCTTCTTTATTTCATTTAATAATAACATAAATTCTTTGATAATATTTAAAAATCCATCAAACTAATAAAAATTATTAATGAAAAACCGAACAGTTATTCAAGACCACGATAACTTGGATGATTTGAAACAGGAAAAAGAACAGATGAGAATTAGGATGAACAAACTGCAGCTAAAGATTGTCAGCCTGACGGGAGGATCGGATGTTTGACGCCAAAGATGAATTGGAATAATGTGTAGATGAATGGATGGAGGAGTTGTATCGTTGAAAATTGTATTTAGTTTAAATAATTGTATATATTTGCTTTTTCATTTTATTTCATTTTTTTTAAACTTAAAACATTCTTGTCTGTCTGAAAGCTTTTAAAAAATAACTTCGATAATTGTTAAACGTTTTTTTTACACATTCACGCATTGACATGTATCTACAAAATGCTGTTTCACCCCACCCACATTTCTACACCAACCAGACCTCTTACAAACACATTACAAGTTTTTTAAACACCCCAACGAAAGACGCCACAAAAACACCTCCTCCCAGAACCCCGTAGATTGCAATGGTTTTTATTAATCTGAAATAAAATTATGATCCTCTTTTTCAGAAAGGATATATTATTATGTAGTTGATGGTTATGAAAATTTAGATGAAATATTTGTACAGATTCAGCGCCACATTGTCGATTGTGCAAGCTACTTTCCGATAAAGTTAGCATTTCTTAATTATCTAAGACTCGGGAACAATAAAAATGAAATGTGAAAACCACAAAAACAACAACAACAACAGCCGCAGCAGTAGTAGCAGCAGCAGCCGCAGCAGCAACAACAAGGAGTACCGACCCATTGCCCATCCTGTGGATTTCTTAACATCAGTTGTGCCCCTCTTATATGGTTCCACATCTGCCCTGATGTCATTGCTAATATTAACACCTAAGTGTGTGTGTGTGTAGGTGTGTGTGTACGTACAGGTGACAATATTATGACATGATTATACATAAATTTAAATGAATAAACAAAAATATATAAATATATATGTATAATTATTAGTTTTGATCAGTTTCTGGTTAAGTTTTTCAATATTTTGTACCACATTTTTTATCGTTATTTTTCAACTTATTTATATAGAAAACAAAGTTTTCAATAACTCTTTTATTCATTCTTATCTTAAATATTTATCTATCAAGTTTTAAGCTTCTGAAAGTTTACGATTGAGCTTTTCAACATTTCTAACAGTAATTTTATAATCATTAACCAGAAACTGTAGGTTGCGTATCTTTGAAGAAGATATCGCTGTATTATAAATCGCTGAAATTTACATCGAGAGCATTTAACAAGATTAAGAAACACATGGATGTCAGTTTTCCAACAGTTCAAGGGAAATAGGATAGTCAATAAATGAACAATTTTCAACATTCAACCGTAGAAGAAGAGTTTTTTTTTAGTTTAGTAGCTATTTGTCTCGGATGAAAACGTTATGTCAATAACAAGTGTTATGAAAATCAAAAGCACTAGGAGCTGTTAAGGAATGAGTGACATGACCGATGTACTTTAGACGCAAGAGTAAAAATTTTAATCGAATGTTATACACAAAATTGTTCATGTGATCGAAACATTTCCATTTTAATGCTATAGAAAGTATATATAAAGTTTCATGTCGTCCTATGCTAAACCAGTACTTATAATTCTAATGTTTGATTTTGTAAATGTTGATCCGCTTTATGGAATGATAGTCTTGAATATTTCATACATTCTTTACCTTTCTCTTTAATTAATCACTTTGTAATTTAGTTTTTGCTTGATGTGGGGTTTTAGTAGGATATTGAAGTAAGTATATTTTGGTTGAATGATTTTACAAATATATGTAATAGTTCAGTAATATTGACTGTGAATATAATGAGATGGAAATGGGATATTCCAAGAATATGGATACGAAGGATGGGAACATACAAAATATAAACAATAAAAATATATTGTACAATTTACAGGTTGTGATATCTATGTTTTAAAATGGCACTTCGAAACTTTTCCAAGCAAATTGTTTTTTCTTGCCGAGCTTCTAATTGCAATTCTATTAGGTTTAGCTTTATAAATTTTACTCCAAAATGTTGTTTCACGTCATTATTCATCAACAAAAGTCATAAAATATCCTCGCCAAGTAAAACACACGGGCGTGGAGACGGACACTTGTTGGCTGCCTCTCAAAATGCTGTCACCTACCAAAGACGTGGTTTCAGTGACGATTCGGAGGGCTCAAGAACAGTGAAAGACTTACAGTTAATGAAGTTCACTCAACTTATATGGCCAAACATCTTCAAATCCATTAGAAATTTTTTCTTCTCCTTTTTAATACGTCGTTTCGTTGATGAAGAATTCACTCTTTCAAGTTTTTTGTGTGGAGCTGAACAGGTAATTTTTTTGCCTGCTTAATTAATAAATAATAATAAGGCAAATTTGTCGTTTTATTTTATGGCTATCTTGTTTATATTGCATACGCTTAACTGCGAAATCTTTTTTAGAGAGATAAGAATAAGACTCATTAAAATATTTTTTCATTTTTTAGGCAGTGGGAATAGTGTCATCCTGCATAAGCAGAGGTGATTTCAACTCATTAAATGGCTTAGTCACTAGAGAGTTTAGTAAAGTTGCTACGTTATATTTAGTTTAATAGTAACCCACAACCAGCCATTATAATACATAAATAAATTATGTAAAAAACACACTGCTATAATTTTTTAATGTCAATTAAGGAATATAATTTGGTATTACAAAATTACAGGCAGTTGAAGAAATCAAACAGAATTATAACCTGCTAACAGAAGGGCAGAAAAAGTTTATTATGGTTGACCCTAGAAACATTTTCCTAAAATTTGTTTATGAAATAGGCATGATATTTGAGGACAAATCAAGTAAATTCCATTCATAATTTATTTTATTAATTTGATTTTGTTATTGAATGTCTAGCCCTCAAATGACTTATATTTATATCTTATATTTCATATACTACAGAGTTAAATTTGAAGTTACTTTGTTCTGATCTGATTTGTATTAATTAATGGCTATGTTATAATGGCCAGCTTTTCATTTTTAAGTTTACCCAAAACAAGACTACTTGTAAGATTAATTATTTCATATTACAAGACAGAAAGTTCATAGAAATCACAACTGTAATGCAAGGTTATCATGGGTTGGAGAGGATAAAAGATGAAAATGTCCGGGACCTTTCCAGTGAAATGATAGAAAATCGGCACAATCTCTTTGTTTGCAATTACAGGTAGTTGGCAAATTGTTTTTTCTTTACAAAATAATAAACGATTATCCAGTATGATTTTTAATAAGTTAATAAAAAATTTTACGTAGAATTTAAAGTCCATCTATTTTATGATCTCTTATTTAATTAACTGAACCACTCAAGATTCATCAGGGAGTTTGCGAGGGACCGCGAAGATTATTGGATTGTCAACAAATTGAATCATTTTTCACCTCAAAAATCAAACTAACAAGACATTTCACTCATTCACTTTTTTGTTTTAACACTAAGCAACCACATGTTCAGCATTAAATAAACATCACAAGAGCCAGTTGTTGTTCATTTGTTGAATAATTATATTGAATACAAATCAAATTAAATCTAAGGTATTTTAAGGACATTAAATCGCCTATATATTTGTGTGGTAAATCTATAGAACAAAACAACTAAGTGAGGTTCAACCAACTACCAATGTGTCGTCATCTGCAAATGCATATTCAGGCACAGCCAAGTTAAGAGGGGCTGGACCCTTTCGTATCCTACCTGATGAGTCATAATGTGACCCATGGCATGGGCAATAGTATCCCCCATATTCTCCCTTGTTAGGAATTGGTACACACCCTGCAATTGAAAAAAGTAGGTTGGATCATTCCCCAGTCAAGTGAGTTATAAGTGCCATTTTTGTATTCTCAATCAAATTAACAAATTAATCATAGCAAAAAGCTTAATTTCTTAAGCCATAAATTAGATAATTTATGCTAGATATGGCATGCTGAAGTGCCACCACAAAATTTTCAGATGGAATAATTTGTGCAAGAGGTATGGAACAGATCAAAATTGGTACTTAAGAAAACAGTGGAATGAATGAAAACTTATCTGGTTATATTTAGTGATAAGCTGGAGCACTATTTGAACTGTTTTTGTATACCATGTTTTAAGATGCAAGCAGAATATTAAAGTACAACAAGAAGACACTTTAGTTAATGAAAAAGAACTCACCTAAATGGGTGCATATACCAAGGACAACAAGCCATTCTGGTTTTTTTACTCTGTCATTGTCGTGTTCCTGGTGTCTCAAGCTAGAAAGGTCCACTGCCTGTTCAGTCTCAATCTCTTCTGCAGTTCTATGCCTAACAAACAGAGGCTGACCTCTCCATTTGAATGTTACATTTTTGCCCTCTGGTATTTTGTCTAATTTCACTTCAATTTTGCCAACAGCCAAAACATCTGCAGAGGCACTCATACTAATTACCAGTTCCTGGACCATTGCCTTAGCAAAATATGTTGTAGGGATTGTTCCAGCTTTGGATTAAAAACATTTAATTTCAAATCAATAATTGATTGTATAAAATATTTAATTTAATCCCAACAATAAGTCAATTGTTGAAAATTAACAAACCTGCAACCATTAAGTAACTGAAAGCTTTTCTGTTATCTAAGCCAGAATCTTCTCCACTTTCTCTATCATGACGATATGCCGAAAAATCAGGAAAGTCAATGTCTGTGTGAGCTAATCTTATTTGGCCAGGACCTATAAAATGTTTCACATTGCAGATTACCATTAATACACTAAATCTAAAACTAAATCAATTCAATCCTTTCAGCTTTCAGTGTTTAATGATTATTGATCAGTTAGTTGTCAATCAATTTAATCAAAATAAAATGAATTGGATGAACTTAATTTTTAAATTTATTTCAAAATCAACTTTCAGTTTAACAATTTAGCAGAGCTATTTTTAATTTATTTTTATATTATTTTAGCTGAGTTTTTGAGAACAGAACATTGATTGAAGAAAGCAAGACTGACTTCTCTTTTTTATCATGCGTCTTTTGAAATAAATTATTTAAACATGGGGTATGGAGTTTACAACCTGTGATGCTCACACTGGCCCTCGGGTTGATCCAGCCCCCCGGCTTAACAAATGCACCGGTCAGACCCCAGGAGGTGTTCAGAACTTGTCTTTTGTAGAAGAATGACTTGTGGACCTGTTTGAATCCTTCAGTTATTATTGGTCGCGACAATGAAGGAACTATAACGCATGTAGCAGTGGCTTTGCCACATATAGCTGCCATCCTGTTTTTAGATGAATGCAGCTCCCGATCACCTCAAGTCTAAAAAAGCTGCGTATTGTTATTGGTAATTTGGCAAGATGGCGATTGTTGCAAGGACAAAAATGGAGATGCTACATACATCTATTTATTTAAAAAAAATTTATTTTAATATTTGTTTTTAGGGACAATTAAGCAAGATTGTTGGTTTATGAAAATAATTTTTGTCTAAAATTATGTTCCATCTGTTTTTTAATAAAACGAATATACAAAAAGTTGAAAAAAGCAATACAAAACCGTTAAATTTTGAAACGATTGTCAGAGAAGCAGCAAACCAAGCAATGGGTGACGAGGTGGACCCCTCAAAACCTATTTTAACGTATTTTAACGGAAGAGGCCGAGCGGAAATTATTCGCCTGATATTTAATGTAGCAAATGTTCCTTACGAAGACAAAAGAATTTCAAAGGAAGAATGGCAGTCGCTAAAGCCATGTAAGTTCTCATTGAACTTTTTAAATTTCGACGAAAAATTACAATGTTGCATGTAGTATAACTGAATGTAATCTTTTTGCGATCTATCAATATAATGTATTGCCCTATTGATAATTATTGATAACACACCGCTTAACGCTTTTTAATGTTGATACTTCTAAGCAACACCATTTGGTCAGTTACCTCTTCTCACAATGGACAACGTTGTATTATGCCAAAGCAACACGATCGCACGATTTTTGGCAAAAAAATATGGTAACTTAAAAATTATCCACTGAATTAAACATATGACTCAGTCAGAGCTTACTAATGAGCCTTTTTTAATTTTTTAGGCTTGGCTGGTGCTAATGAAATGGAGAATGCATTGTGTGACATGGTTGTCGACTGTGTAGAGGATGCGTTGAAACCTGTGCTACAAATATTTTTCGAGAAAGATGACACAAAAAAGGTGACACAAAATGAATTTATAAAACTTAAACTATATCCATTAGACGAATATCATTTAACTAGAAAACAATTTTCGAACAGCTCCTAATGTTTGCTAAGTTTGAAAGAGAGCAACTACCAGTTTACATGGCTGCCCTTGAAAAGTTATTAGTATCAAATAGAGGAGAAGATGGATATTTTGTTGGTGACAATGTATGCATTTCTTTGTCTGGTAGGTCTGTTTCACATGCGATGACTAATCCGAAATCTAATTAAACACCCATTTAGCTAACTTGGGCGGACATTACGGTAATGAATTTCAGAGAATATCTGACAATGATAAATGTGGAGTTGTCTTTTGGAAAGTATCCAATCATAGCAACATACATTGACCGCATTGCCGCCGTACCCAAAATAGCTGAGTGGATCGACATTCGACCCAAGACTGACTTATGACTGATTCAACTTGAAACTTAAATCAGTTTTTAATTATCAATTGGAATTATTTTTACTTTAAAAACAATTAAAGTGGTCTTTGAAATTAACTTTTGTTTAAAAATTAACAAAAATTATAAAAGGAAATAAATAATTTACATATTCGGACAGTCATAAACACTAAAAACTATCATGATTACATTTAAAACCGTAACAAATATTAATCAAAGAGTAATTAATGACCCATTCTTCAAACTGTAACTCAACTTCAATCCATCCAACGCTCACTTTATTAGAAAACTGCATGGAAAATAAGAGCATTTGTTAAAAGTAGATTATAACATGTATTAAATGCTATAAAACCAGAGCAAAGCAAATAATTAATACAAAGATCGATCTTCACACAAAAACGCACGCACACACACGCACACACACACGCACACACACAATGTACCTAACCTGTATGGATATCCTCTGTGTTTAACTTTGAAGATGGACAACATGAAGCTGAAGAAAATTGCCACGACTGCCAGACCACACAGTGCGTAGACTGCATTAATGTTGAGGATTTAAATGTAGACACACACACACAAACACACACACGCACACACACACACATTTAATTTGCATTCATCTGCCTATCCATATATCTATCTATCCATCTATCTACAACTTATCCATAGATCTATTCCTCATTTATCCATTAACCAATCCATTCATTCATCTATTTATTTATTCAATCCTTCATTTATTAATCTGTAAAAATAGCATTTAACTAATTGATTTGTATACATTTGTATGGAAAACATCATCATTATTATGATCAAAAGAATTTTTCAAGAGAAATTTTATCTATTGTTCAACAAACAACCGAAAAACCACCGAAAACAAAAAAATCAAATAGAATATTTTGAATGAGCTATCAATAATAATTAAAAAAAACGCGAGAACAACGAAATAATTATAAAAAATGGCCAAAAAAAGAGTCAGCCAACTAACACTTTTTCTTCCCAGAATCTTTCTTATTCTCGCCAACTTCACTCAACATGAACATGCCACCCACAATCGCTGCATCTGTTTGTTTTTATGCACGTTTGTTTGCTATAAATATGTACATGTTTTATTTGCAAGATTGAAATGAATGCCACCAACAACAGCACCAAAGCCACCAGTGGCAATGGCAACTACAGAAATGAAACCAAGTAGACTAACTGAGGAATATGACAATGTAGGACTCCACGATGAACTGGGATTGTGTGCTACCATGGATGTAATGCTAGAAACGACGAGGGAACATATTAAAAGTATTACAGCATAGAAACGACGTAGATAATGCAATATAACAATGCACAGATTATGATATTAATCATGAAGAATGTAATTAAAACAGCAACAATTACTGTAACGTTAATGAAAGCAGCATCTGAAACGACATAATCAAAATTTTATTCTATAACTAACCTCGGGAACAATAAAAATGAAATGTGAAAACCACAAAAACAACAACAACAACAGCCGCAGCAGTAGTAGCAGCAGCAGCCGCAGCAGCAACAACAAGGAGTACCGACCCATTGCCCATCCTGTGGATTTCTGTACATCAGTTGTGCCCCTCTTATATGGTTCCACATCTGCCCTGATGTCATTGCTAATATTAACACCTAAGTGTGTGTGTGTGTAGGTGTGTGTGTACGTACAGGTGACAATATTATGACATGATTATACATAAATTTAAATGAATAAACAAAAATATATAAATATATATGTATAATTATTAGTTTTGATCAGTTTCTGGTTAAGTTTTTCAATATTTTGTACCACATTTTATATCGTTATTTTTCAACTTATTTATATAGAAAACAAAGTTTTCAATAACTCTTTTATTCATTCTTATCTTAAATATTTATCTATCAAGTTTTAAGCTTCTGAAAGTTTACGATTGAGCTTTTCAACATTTCTAACAGTAATTTTATAATCATTAACCAGTTTTTTATGTACTGGCAATTTGGATTCAATTGCGAATTTTCAAAAGCTGAAAATTCGGTAGATCTGATCAAATATTGCATCAGTTATGGTTTCCTTCCAGCTTTCATATATAAATAAATGATAATATATGTATGAGTGCGTCGTATGGCGTCATGAATAACAGTTTGTGTTACAGTTAACAGTAATAATCCCCATCCTACACTAACGACGCCCATCAACAAATCGATTACAAGCTTCTTCTTCCCCTGGTCAAAAGGATGACACATCCTATCAATCAATCTTCGTTTTGCGTCCTATGCCATCCATATGCCAAAATCACCCCAGCAGAAACATGGAGTCATGCCCAGTACTAACCACTGAAAAAACTCCCCACGATGTTTTGTTGTAGAGGAACTCGAGATTGTTGCGCTTGAGATAAAGGATGCCACCAATCAGCGAAACCAGCAGAATCAGTGCCATAGTCCCAGAATAACTTGGAGGTCTGAAGATTCGGATCTGTTAAAAATGTTGGTGGCTGATGAACATTTGAATCACGTTTGAGTGTTTAGTAGTACGCTTTTTAGATCTATTTTCAAGGGAAATGGAAAAATTAATAGCATAACAAATAAAATTATTTAAAAGTAATATAAGTGAAAATTATAACTTAGACCCTGGCAATGTAAATTTAATAATATTTAAGCATAACATTATGAACTTTACATCAAACTGATAATAACTGACTGTGGTAGGGAAAAAA